GCAGTCTTTTGTGGTAGAAGTGATGGTTCTACCATACTTGTAACAAGGAGTAGAATTTACAGTTTTAGCTATATGGAGTTTGCACAAGACTAGACAATGATCTGAAGTATCATCGCTTTGCTGCAGATTTGTTATCAAATTGCACACCTAGGTTCCAAACTGATAACAAAGAATTGAGAGCAGCCATCAAGTGTTAGACAGTGTTCTAGGTTATTACAGTATCATCGCTTTGCTGCAGATTTGCTATCAAATTGCACACCTAGGTTCCAAACTGATAACAAAGAATTGAGAGCAGCCATCAAGTGTTAGACAGTGTTCTAGGTTATTACATGTGGAAGGACTTTGGTCCAATAATTAAAACCTCTGTATTTTTCAGAATTTAGCAGAACTGAACTGAGCTAATGACGACATCACTTTTCTCAAGAGCTGCTTTTAACTCATTCCATAACTGATGGACTTTAGACAGTTATTTAATCACACTGGATCAACAATGAATTGGTTTCAACTGAATAATGATTGTTTACTATTGTCTTTTAGAGCTGCTTTACAACATATCAACATTCCGTTTACATCAGAGATCAAAAATTCATTTTCTTATCACTGTAAAGCTACTTTGAAACAACCTGTATTGTATAAAGCAGTATATAAAGTAGGGATGCACCGATATCACTTTTTCCAGTACTCGCCCGATACCGATACTTTTATTTTTGGTACTTGCCGATAGGGGTTGCCTGTTATTTTCACACTTAATTATGCCCATTAAAATGTATTACAAGTTTGTTACTTTCACTGTTCATTTTTTTGCTCTATGGTACATCATCTTTAATTTAATAGCATTAGAGCTGCTCCATTGCAGCGGCTTAGTACTGTGATCACACGCTTTGCTGTAATAATGCAGGGAACCACTAGCTAAAAATCTCCTAATTGTGATATATTCATAAATAGAAGTCGCGTTTTTTTCATCTGAAACGTGCAGCGATTTATTTTCCAAAGCCACTCATATAATGCAGAAACACCCATGAAGCAAGTAAAACATGCGCAACGCACACACCTATTTGTACTGGTGCAGAATGAGAGGGACAAGTACAGTACAGCCTACCGCATTTCACACAGGCTGTTAGTTTCACTTTTGCCAGATAGTAGTGTATGCTTAAGGGTGAAAATAAATGTTTATAGTGAATGCCCCTATAAATTGCCTTATATTTACGATTTAGTTTTAATCCAAATGATGCGTGCTAAGTGAGCGATCAATAAAGATCACACAACAGAAGTGCGCGCGCTCTCTCTCCCTACCATTAAGTAACTTGTGCATCGTTTTACCTTTTTGACATCTGACCGAACTACAAACTTTCCAGTGATGTCTGTGAGAAAGGGATATTCACTCGACAAGCTCGTGCATACCATTAAGTAACTTGTGCATCGTTTTACCTTTTTGACATATCTGACCAAACTACAAACTTTCCAGTGATGTCTGTGAGAAAGGGATGTTCACTCGACAAGCTCACGCATCTGCGCCGCCCCGTGCTCAATCCACTCAGCGTGCTTTGCTTACCAGCTGGCGCAAACCAGCTATACAGGCATTAATACTGAATGTTTTATTCATTGCATACAAATACTTCGTAGACATCTTTCATCTCTAATAACTCCATTCTGCTGTCTGTTGTCAGTGTTTGTCTGAATATGGCTCTTATCACATGCTGTGTGGTATCAGCGTTTGGTATCGGGGCATTTTAACGAGTACAGGAGCTCAGTATCAGGCCCGATACCAGTACATCCCTAATATAAAAGGCTACTTGACTAACCTGAAAAATTGACACCAACATTCAGAACGCACATAATTCCTGCAAGCTCGACCTGTCAGAATGGACCTTTGTTGCGGTCTAGCAGTGGGTATGCAAATCTGCATTTCTCAAAGGGAAAAAAAAAATAAAATAAAAAACACCTTTTAGGAGAAAGCATTAAAGCAGCTCTACAAACCTCTTAGCACTCAAACTCTGGAAAAAAAACAAAAAAAGGACAATACACTGAACAAGACAAACCATTAAAACACAGTTTTGTTTTTTTTTGTTTTTTTTTGTTAGACAGCACCTGAAACGTATTCATCAGAAGGACTCAAGGTGCTGTTCACAGAACCAGACTCCGCATCCTGACTCAAGGTGGCGTTAGAACCAGACTCATAATCCTGGCTCAAGTTGGCGTTAGCAGAACCAGACTCAGCATCCTGGCTCAAGGTGGCGTTAGCAGAACCAGACTCGGCATCCTGGCTCAAGGTGGCGTTAAATTTAATTTTCTTTCATTTGGAGGCTCCGCAGCTCACAGTCCAGCTCCTTTAGTATGCAGTCCAATTCTTCTGAGTCAGTTTCCACATGAAACAATCCCACCACAAAAAAAATTAAGTTTCCTTATGGCAAGTCAAATCACAAATGGCATGACTTACAGGCACAGGACTGGCTGTAATTTATGTGAAGGGGTTAAAGCATTACCTCGTTGACATTCCTTCTGAAGCCCATTGAGGTAGAGGCCTCAGTTTCTGGGGCAGGTTGTGAAAAATCCTACAATAAAAGAGCTAAGGGCCAGTCACATTTGTGTGACACTCTGATTTTAATGCTAGTTCTTGCAGTCACTAATGTATTAATCTAAAAAGTGGTAACATTTGTTTCTTTGAGAATACCCACTGCTAGACTGCAACAATTATCCATTCTGCATAAATATGGCCAGGGGTTCATTTTATTTCCTTTAGAGTTCAACTTCAGCAGAATATGATTGTTTTGTTTTTCAGCTGGGTCTGCACCATAACACCTGTCCGTCTGCATTTTTCTTGTTGCGTGTTTATCCTGCCCATTACTTACTGCAGTAGTTTCTGGGGAGCTACTCCATTACAGTAACGTGAGTAAATGTAATTCGTTACTTTCCACCCCTGGGGGAATGGAGTGCAGCTGGAGGAAAACAAAACCAGAGGCAATTCAAATTGCATGATGGGAAAGTACCCTATCCTACAGAAGAGCATTAAAAACTGCTAGATCTAATTACTTTTCGTCTCTAGAAGAAAACAAACATATCCCCAGGTATTTATTCACTACAGTGGCTAAATTAATTAAAGCATCAACAGGTGTTGACATTTCCCAACAGCACAGCAGTAATTTTTATGAACTACTTTCATTTTAAGATCGATACTATTAGAGACAAAATTGTAACCGTGCAGCAGTCAACTACGAATCAGTGTGATAGATCCCCTGAGGAACAATTCCACTCAATCCCTAATAATGAGTTAACGAGCTGTCCAGGTGGCACAAATTGTTTTCTGTTTGACTTTAAAAGTCCTGGTTTGGTTGGACTTATATGTATAGTTAGTTTAGCTGTTTTAGTGGTTTAGTTTGTGGTAAAGAATGGGCTTGATTAAACTTACTCTTTTGGTGGTTTTTTTTATCACTAGTTGGTATGGCAAGATGAGATTTAATATTTTATTCTTTGTTTGGTTGCAGGAATTAATTATGTTTGTTTCAATATGTATGTGTTCTCTCAATATTAGTGATTAGAAGAGCTAATAACTTTATTGACTCCCGTTTGGTCTCATTAATCAAAATTAACTATTAGTTTTTTTTTTTCTTAAAGTAGCTTCATTGAGTAGCATTAAGTGATGTTTTTAATAGCCAAATTCCCCAAACATGTCCACCTAGGTTCAGAATTTGAACAAGATTGCATAGCTGCATTATAAAGACTTCTAAAAATAACATGAGAAATGTTAATTACTTGGCCTCCCAAGTCTCTTGTTCATTTGTCATCACTGCTCCATATTCAGCTCCATAGGTTTACATGGCTCTTTGTTACTACAAGATTCTTTCAGATTAAGAAACACCAAATGTCACGTGTCACTCCACTGCTGTGAATGGCACCTTGAGCCAGGATGCGGAGTCTGGTGCTGTGAACGGCACCTTGAGTCCTTCTGATGAGAATGTTTCAGGCGCTGTCTAGTTACGTGCTGTCAAATGTGTTTAACCAAATAAAAAAAATTAATGGTTTGTCTTGTTCAGTGTTATACTTGTTCCAGAGTTTGAGTGCTAAGAGCTTTGTAGAGCTGCTTTAATGGGTTTTTTTTTTTTTTTTACCCACTGCTAGACTGCAACAATTATCCATTCTGCATAAATATGGCCAGGGGTTCATTTTATTTCCTTTAGAGTTCAACTTCAGCAGAATATGATTGTTTTGTTTTTCAGCTGGGTCTGCACCATAACACCTGTCCGTCTGCATTTTTCTTGTTGCGTGTTTATCCTGCCCATTACTTACTGCAGTAGTTTCTGGGGAGCTACTCCATTACAGTAATGTGAGTAAATGTAATTTGTTACTTTCCACCTCTGGGGGAAAATTGAGTGCAGCTGGAGGAAAACAAAACCAGAGGCAATTCAAATTGCATGATGGGAAAGTACCCTATCCTACAGAAGAGCATTAAAAACTGCTAGATCTAATTACTTTTCGTCTCTAGAAGAAAACAAACATATCCCCAGGTATTTATTCACTACAGTGGCTAAATTAATTAAAGCATCAACAGGTGTTGACATTTCCCAACAGCACAGCAGTAATTTTTATGAACTACTTTCATTTTAAGATCGATACTATTAGAGACAAAATTGTAACCGTGCAGCAGTCAACTACGAATCAGTGTGATAGATCCCCTGAGGAACAATTCCACTCAATCCCT